AGGGCCAGGCAGGTGCCGGCAGGGAACGTCCTGTGGGAAGGGGCTCCGGAGAGGAAGCTCACGCGGGAGGCCATGCCGCGCCTCTCCGGTGGCAGCCGGGCTCCCGCGGGCACAGGTCCGTGAGCTCCAGGCCTGCCTCTGTCGTCCACTAGCTCTGCAGTCTGGGGAAAGGGATTTAAGCCATTCCAAGCCTCCACTCCCTCATCTGTGAAATGGGTGTCATAAAAATGCCAACCTTCCCAATAAGGCTGACTGGGAATTCAAGAACTCCTATAGAGCACCTGCCATAGATAACAACATAAGTGATTATTACTATACCGATTCAGAGTCCTAAATGCTTGTATTCTCTCTCTCTCATACAGAGTACCTACAATATAACCCCAAAATTCATACAATATTTAATTCTAAATAAAGAGCATAAAGGACATGTTCCTATAGAGGAGGAAGAGAGAGGGGGAGTTAAGAAATCACTAATGAGCATATACTAAGTTTGTAAAAATTTGAGCAATTTACTTGCCTTCCTTTAAAAGTCATCAAGCCTGTAAGGACTAGAGAAGCCGATGACAGAGATCATGAGTAAGTAAATGCTAGAGCGTGTTACAAGGAGGTAAGTGCTATGGGAAAAGTCAGGAGACGCAGACGAGGAATGTCTGGTGGTAGGAGGGGAGGGAGCAATCTGAAACAGAGTGGCCAGGAGGGGCCTCCTTGGAAAGGTGACTTTAAGCAATGATCTGAGGCAGGTGAGGTGGTTAATCAGGAGGTTAAGGGGAATAGCATTCCAGGCAGAGAGAAGAGCCCATGCAAAGGCCTCAGGGCATGTGTGGCAGGAGGGACGGACCCCAGTAGAAGCCACCATCAGAGGGAACAGGTAGGCAATGTACTGTGACGTCGGCTAGCGCTACACGGGGCTCTCTCGGGACACCTTCCCACAGGAGAGGGGGAGAACCCACAGCTCAGTAACTGGGGCCTGAAGAATCCGTGAGGATTATGGCCTGGGCAGGGCAGGAGTGGTGTGTGTGTGGAGCTCTGCTGTGTTCGGTACTTAAAGGCAGAGGCACGGCTCGTCAACTTGACGCTGCTCTCTACAACGTACTGGTCATCAGTATCAAGCTTCAAAACCATCCCAAAAGGACTGGCCAAACTGATGCTCTAGCACTTCACAAGTACAAGGTGCTTGGGGAAAGAGCTTTGGTTTTTGTTTATTTGTTTTTAAAAAAGAAAACCTTTTCGAGGGCACCTAGAAATCAATCTAATTTTTAAATAACAGTTAATGCCCCAAAGGACAAGCTGTAGTAAGAGCCAGGAATGTGAGTTAAGGACTCAAAGCAGAAACAGATTATGAAGGTGAGGCCACATGAAGAAAACAGTAGTGGAGGGAGGAGGTATACCAAAGGGCCAGGATGGCGGGAATGCTGTGTGGGTGTCGGGCCCTGTAGCTGGGGACGGTGTGTGCTCAGAGGACAGGACTTGGACTGGAGGGGACTCGGCAGTAACCCGCGGGAGGGCGAAGAAACGAGGGCAGTTTGGCCGGAGAGGAGCTTTAGAGGAAGCCGTGGTTTCCATGACCTCCCACCATCTGAAGAACGGGAAGTAGAAGTATAGTCTGTGTGGCTTCAGACACAGACCAGAGAGGCACCAAGGGATGGAATATGACAGGGAGCAGGATTTGGTTCAATCTAAGAAATTCACTGGAACTTCAGAACTGTTCTAAAATGGGGCAGGCTGCTTCCCACAGTCACCCACAGCCCTTACTACACGCCCAGCCACAGGGCTCTGAGTTTGGGACCCTTATCATTGCACATTTAAATGCATGACATACATCACCACGCGTCAGTCTCCACAATGCCCGTGAGATGCGGCCACTGCAATACTGGGCACTATTCTGAAACCTCGAAACCCCACTTCTGGTGTTACTGCTGTTGTGTCATGTCAGCCACAAATCACAGCTCAGCTCCCCCCTTCTGGGCCTTTCTCCAGTCCCTTCCCCTTCTCCTCCACCCGCCCCACCTGCTAACAGGGCGCCACCAGGACCTGGGAGAAAGAGCCCTCGCAGCAGGCTGGCCTCTCCACTGCAGCAGGGGAAGGGGAAGGGGGGACACGGCCATCTGGCTCTGGCCATCCGGCTCCCGTCCGGCTCCCGTGGGCAGTAAGAGAAATCAAAGCTCTTGCCACTGAGCTCAGCAGCTCCCGTGAGGGGCTCCAGGCCGCAGGAGGGTGGCCTCATATGGAGGGGCTGAGGCAGGAGCAGCAGTGGGCCCAGAGACCCCAGAGGGACCTTTCTGCACCATGGGAGGTAACTTTACACTGGAAACCTTGGCCTCACTCATTTTTTCCAAATCTATGAATTCTGAAAGCTTTTAAATAAAATGTCAGTAGAAACATCATGCTTCCTTATCTCAATCAGTGTGGCAATAGGCATAATGAATCCTCTACCATGGGGGAGAAGTTTTGACAGCTTGTTCCAGTTCACGGCTCCTAAGGGGAAAAGCTGGGATTTAAAGATAGCCACTCTGGCTCCAGCCTTCAGAAGAGGTCCCTAAATGAGCTCTAAATTCCTTCCCTAGGTTCACCTTCATGGCCACCCCAGGCCCTCTGACACCGAGGAGGCCAGCTCTGTGCTTTCCATCAATATGCGAGCGAGTGACCCCGGCCCCTGAGTACCATTTCCAGTGGTGGGGGATGAGAAATACCAAGCACTCTGTTCTCGGGTCCCGAGAGACTGTGCGGCCCAGGCTTTGGGGTACTGGGGGTGATCTGCTCAGTGCTCTGGCCTCTGGGAGAACGATCCATCATCCCAACTCATTCATGGCAAACTTTCACCCAACAATGTTGGCTAGCCCAGAATTCACCAAGGAACTCTGTCAACTGCAAACACCATAAATAAGAGTGCAACTTGGGGTTAAACATCCGTTTCTTACAGTGTTTCCAGACTAAACCAACTAAAAACAGAAGCCTCCAAAAAGAGAAGGTGGACACACACCCCGGCGCTTCTACCCACTGGGCCACACAAGGTCACGTTCTCGAGTGCTGCCCATGGTGCACTCCACTCGCCCATTTTATCTTGGGGTCCTCCAGAGAGGCAAACATTTGCCAGCACCGACCAACCTTCTGACTCCGGTCCCTCAGACACCGACTGGGAGACACCAGTGTCCATCCGGGCACTCGCCACACTTCCCCACTCAGGCAGAGAGCAGCCCTGCGTGGGGCCTACAGAGCTCACTGCACTTCCTCAGCCATCAGAGCTTCCCCAAGGGGTACAGCCCCCCAGGCTGTGCACTTTACAAGCCTGGTGTTTCAAACAGCCACCAGCCCAGCAGACCCCCTTGGCTTAGAAGTTTAGGAAGTCACACAATCTGGCTGTTGGACATTACCAGACAATCTACAAAAATGAAAATGAAATCTTTAAAACTAAACATTCTAAGCTGATACACACTTAAAATAACTCAATTTAATGACTTTAAAAAAAAAAAAAGATCTCACTGCATTTATAAGCCCAATCTTTCTAGCGTTCCTTTACTTGCTCCTTCCTGCTGGGAAACAACAGTACAGGAAGCTTAACACCAGTGCTCCGACCTCAATAATGGTTAACAAAAATAACTGTATTGCTTTACACTGGACATGTCTTAGGTTTCCAAAGTACTTTCACAATCATAATTTAATGTAATTCCATGAGATAAGAAGAGCCAACATTCACTATAACCACTTTACGACTCAGGTTAAGTGCAGTTATAGGATTTATATCACAAAGCTAGCTGAGCCCAAACCAGGCTCTTGTTTAATTTGGCAGAGGAGGCATTTTTTAAATTAAATATTAGAGAGAACTCTGGGGGAGGGAGGGGAAAGGAGAGGGAGAAAGAGAGAGAAGCAGGAAAGAGGGGCAGAGGTTGAGGAGCGGGAGGAGGGCGTAGGGGTCCCCCACCCAGGGCAGCCGCATCGAACCTACTCTGCAAACTCTCGGGGTAGCCTGGGCTGCTGCTTAACACATGCATGGAAGTATGTCGAGGGACAAGAATGGATCCATAGTACATGCAACCTGAGGAACTCAAGAAATCTTTGAGAGGTCCACTCTGTTGCTTTGTTTTCTCTTTTTCTTCAGATTTTATTTATTTATTTGAAAGAGAAAGAGAGTGTGTGTGTGTGTGTGTGTGTGTGAGAGAGAGATCACGAGGAGAGGGGAGGGGTAGAGGGAGAAGTAGACTCCCCACTGAGCAAGGAGCCCCATGCGGGACTCGATCCCAGGACCCTGGGATCATGACCCAAGCCAAAGGCAGACGCTTAACCGACTGAGCCACCCAGGCACCCTGCTTTGCTTTTTCTAAAAGAAAAAAAAAAAGTTTTCTGATTAAAGAGCATTAGGGAAAAGAAATACCTGCTGCTGAAAATTTAGGCTATTACTGGGCAGAGACAAATCTTAAGTTTAGAACTGCATTTAAACTTGTTTTTTACACTGTGACTCCACATAGGAAGGCCCAAAGACAGACTTGAGCATACTCTGTATCTGGGAGACACAAGCAGGCTGCGAGGGCACCAGATGGTCCTCCTGTGACCCCACACCGAGGGACAGCAGCTGACGAGGCAGGGGACGTGGCGGGTGTAACCAGAGCACTGGGACCAGGGAGCACCGCCACAAGCCCGCTGCACTGAGGCAGAGTGTCAACCTACAGTCCAGTCGCAGGGGGGAGGTAGACAAGCTTGGGAACGCAGTGGGAACGGAAGGAGCCCCTCCACATTCCCACACACGGTGGGTGAGCGGTCACAACAGCTCGGCAGAGGGGCCATTTTTCACACGAGGTGCTGCAAGCTGCTGAGTTCTCTTACACGTGGAATTTGAGGATCTCTCTGGAAATAGCGATAGGCATGGTCATTTGAGCTTCTTACCTAGGGAGCTTTAAAATCGGGGGGTGATTTGACTTGAAATCTCATTTCGTCTTTTCCTTCACCTAATGCACTGCTGTTACTCATGCCAGAATCTCACAGGTCACTTCCGGGGTGTACGGTACCTTCATATCTGCTGGGAGAGTCGCATACTTTCTGTGGGGTTGCCACTCGGAGGAATATCTGCTGCCTCCACGAGTGTCTCCGTGTCTTCACGGGGGTCCTGCTGGCGTCGCCAAGGTGGTTAGCTTTGGAGTCAAAGTCCCTGGAAGCACAAAATGACTGATTGATGACTGATGGGGAGATATAATCAGGTATTTTAGCTTGACTTTTTGTTTTTAAACAAAACACTACATTATAAATTATCTTTGTATAAGAAAACATAATTAGATAATCATGCAAGCTGAATCAAGCCCGCAGTGGATCAACATTCCTAAGGGACTGTTTTCTTACAGGATGCCTTTCATGAAAAGCACAAGACTGCATGCCCTTAATTTCTGTCCATTATAAAAGACGTTAAGAAATACGCTCCACAGGCCACTAGCTTCCAGTTGGGCCTTTCTTGGCACCACTTCAGAAAAGAGAAACTGTCTCTAAAGGGGGCATTGGCACCAGGGCACCATCTCCCCTCATCCGTGCGTGGGAAGATTTTCTCAGCATAGGTCTGCATCGCCACAGACAGCCGCAAAAATGAAGAAAGATTACAAAGAACCATCAAGGCAATAATTACACAGTCACTTGATGACAACTATTTTAACATCTATCTTTTTTAAACTACAAAACAAAGTATATTTACTAACACATATCGTAAATACTGTCTCATCAGTGATTTTTCTTCCTATTCGCAGGACAACTTGGGGAAGCCCTTATAATTTACACCCGCGTACACACCACAACTAAGGAATCACCCTGCCTCACAGGTCAGACACCCGGACTTATTTACAGAGCCACATGCTCACTCTCAGAAACACTGCTATCACTTAGAGAACCAGTTAAGACTTTCTTGGATCCTCTGCAAACAACACATTAATAAACTACTCCTGGTCAAAACCGGAGAACAAGAGGACTCTTTCTTTAAGTGACGTTCAGTAGGAAAGTATAAGAAAGAAGATACAACCGATTTAGCTAAAATGATCTTTTGAGTGTCAAAAAAATAGCTGAAAAATCCCTGTATATATCAGTAATTCGACACTTCTACCCAGGCTTGATAAATCTAAATTAAACCCTACCTTTTCGTGTTCATAAAGTCAGAGGTGTTATTTTCATCTACAGGAGCCAGAAATTTTAGAAAATTTGGCACAGAGGAAGAAGAATGAAGTTTTTTCCGCAGGGCATTACGGTAGGAGACGCTGAGAGTTTGAGAAGAGAGTTTAGGATAAAGAAATACAAACACAAAAAGTATAAAATATAAGCTTTAAAGTAAACACTTTAGTTCTCATGCTAAGAAAATTAAACCCGGTAAGAAATTAAAAAGTTTACAAATGAGATTTAATTTCTGTAGTCAATAAAATTCTATTTTAAATGAATGGAATCAATGAATTAATTCAAACACATCAGTCCATTCAGTTACGCAACATAACAAGCTCTAGACACCCACTGTACAATCCAGTGCCCGTAGTTAGCAATACTGTGCTGTGCGCTTTAACAACGTGTTAAGGGTGTAGAGCTCATGTTAAGCATTCTCACCAGAATAAAATAAAAACATAACAAAAAAGTCAGTCCATCTTCCAAAATGACTTTTCCTTTCAAACTGGAAAAAAATAATTTTCCTAAATTCATGAGGACATTTCTGATTTGGCTGTATATGATCAAACACAGTTCTTGTTAAACTGTGTGTGTGTGTATCCTGGGCAGAGATATTGGAAAATAAGTATGTAAGAAATGGCTTGACATGGGGGCGGCTGGGTGGCTCAGATGGTTAAGCGTCTGCCTTCGGCTCGGGTCATGATCGCAGGGTCCTGGGATCGAGTCCCGCATCAGGCTCTCTGCTCCTTGGGAGCCTGCTTCTCCCTCTGCCTCTCTCTCTGTCTCTCATGAATAAATAAATAAAATCTTTAAAAAAAAGAAATGGCTTGACATGAAGACCTGGCAACAGTAATTAATCAATAGTGAATTAAGTCAGTTCAGATGATAGACTGAAAATAATACAATCAAAACCAGACAAGAACACACACACACACACACAAGCGGTGGCCCTGGGTTCTCTCCCACCATGCAGCACAACCTCTCTGTGCAAACTTCCCGGGAAGACAAACGACACTGAACTTGCCGCGTGAGTGTGCTCACCTCTTCGGCACAGCATTCCCACTTTGTTCTCCACTTGAGCTATGCTTTAGGTACTTAAAAAAATTTGGCGAGGAGGCGGAGGGGTTAAGACGAGGTGGAAGAGCAGGAGCTGAAGACTGACCTGAGCAACTTTTAGACTCGCCCACAGCTGGATGATTCACACTAAACAGCAATTAGAGAGAAGGCAGGGCGATTAGCGGGAAGGGGGGGAGCCCAGGGGGGAGCCGAAGGGGGGCACGGAGGGAACAGGCTAGGCTGCCGCCGTCCACTTATTTAAACACCAGCTGTCACAGTCAGAGGACTGCTCTTCACTTCTCTTCTGTATCCACTGTCTCTTTGACAAAGGTAGTTTTCAATTAAAAAAAAAAAAAGAGTACTGTGAAAAGTCATTCTTGATCATTTCTCACACATGTACGAACCCAATAGTGCTTTTTCCTCCCTTCCCTTTTCAGAAACTGGCAGCAATTTTTTTTTGTTTTTTACTTAAATGCAAAAAAAGGAAAGCAAAACAAACTCCATAGTTTTTAAAATACACGTCTCTTTAAAATGAACAATAACCTGCCTGGAATTCAAGGTCTCACTTCTTGTGCATAAATGAGGAAAGAGGTTCATAAGGGAGCAGAAAGCAAAACAGGTATGCTACGGAGGGAGGGAGGCGGGCATCTCTCCACCCTCCCCTGCCCTCCCCTGTCCAGCAAGATCCATTAGGAAGCTGCATTCTTGGCGAGAGGGGAAACGTACTGTCAGGGGTACCCCTTTCCTACCACGTCTGCTTGTGTGAAACTGCAGGCCTAGCAAGAGAACTGGGCATCTCTAGACAGGAATGCGTCCACAATCACTGAAAACGCCAAAAACAGAGGTCTGGGGACATGGCAGAGAGGGGAGAGAGAAGCCATAAACCGGCAAGAGCCCCATAAACCCTTGAACTGTTGTCTCTAAGACGTCATATATTAAATACTAGCTTCTGGCGTGCGTCCTGCTTTGGGATCATAGTTACACAGCCGAATTTTTGAAAGCCATAATCCTTTTCAATGGCTGACAGGAAACAAAGCGGAGAGGCTCTGCTACACCTTTCAAATAGTTTCATTTCTTCACTCAAAACCTGTCAAACACCTCCGTACAGACTGTGCCTGATCCGTGCGTGACCCCCACGCCCGATGCACGTCAGTCCCAGGAGGGCAGCAACTCTACACATTTATTCACATTTATAGGTGAGGGGTTTTAAAAGATTTTTCAAGTTATTTTTAAGGATAACTCTGTGACTGCTTAGGGTCAAATTAATTGCCAAGGGACCCCAGAAGGGGCCCGGAGACCTTCCGCTCCGCTGCTGCTTACCCATCTCTAGAACCAAGAAATTCCAACCGCTCATTCGAGCCCAGTTATTCAAAGTGAGCAGATCCGGTTAGCAGACTCTAGAATACGCACACGGAAGGACATCCATTCCAGTTTGGTTACACACAGAAGCTAAGCAGGTGTGCCCAGGTCACAACCGGGTCAGGACCAAGCCAGCCCCGGACCCTGGGCCGCACAGGCAGCAGACGCGGCAACGTCGCCGCTCGTGCCCCGCCTGGGACGGACGCCGCATCTCCGTGCCACCAGAGAAGGATCCCGGGTTTGCAAACGAGGACTCCCCAGCTCGCCCCCCTGCCACCTGTCCCCAAAGCCGGCAGCTAGGTTCCAGGAGCCCTGCCTCGCACCCTGCGTGAGCAGTGACTACTACCCACTTCGAGGGCCATTTCTGCTCCGTCTCAGCTGCTTCCTCCTGAGACTCGTACTTGCTACTTGAACAAGCAGCAAGCCTCTTACATCTACAGAGTTGCCGCGGGAGGAACAGAACACACCTTCAAGTGTTAGCTTTTAAGCCCACAGAAGAACCTGACTCAAGTCTCTGTCACCCAGTAAGCACAGCTGGGCTGCACATTCTGGGTTAACGACAGATACGCCCCAGCTAGTTACACAACAAATTCACATTTTTAAACAAATCTTACTTCCGGTCATGAGGCGTCTCTGTGCTCACTGAGTGGTACCTCGTAAGTTTCCTTTGGGAGGCCCCCGGAGACCCCTGAGCCGGTTCCGGAGGCTCCGGGCACTCCACGGGGAAATGACTCAGGGTGTTGGCGCGCCTTCGGAAGCTCTGCTGGGGTGACAGTGGGGCAGGCTCTTCTGCGGGCTGGCTCTCCAGGTCACTGGACAGGTCATCCGAGGAGCCGAGGAGCCTGAAGGAGCTCTCGGAGGCGGGCAGGGCCTCTTTCTCACACACGGACGGCTCCTGACGGCAGACAGACAGCAGGTCAGGCGTATCACGGGCAATCTCCTCCCAGGGGCAGGAAAACATTTTGACACAGGAGCCCATCTGGTTATAATGCCATCTAGAGGCCACCGAGAATGTAAGGGAATGAAGGCCTGATAAGGCCCTGCTTATCAGAAACCAAATGCTAGGCTGCTGGACAGATGGGGAAACCTGCCCAAATCCAAGGGGAAGGACGTAGCTGTTGTAAGCGAAGCCGTCAATAGCCCCTTCTCCCTGTAAAAGACTCTACTGTGCTTTTAACTCGTAGAACTTGTCTGCACTGTTTACACAAACCAAGACGTTCTTTATCTCTGCCAAGTGTGTTCATACATGTTCTACCCACATTGTTAAGGCTCTCTGATTTTGATCTAATGTTGAAATTTAACTTGGTGATCCTGAGGTTAAAAACTATATCCTGTATTATTCTTCGAATATGAAGAATCTCTCTTTAGGCACTTATGCCAGAACTCACGGCCAATTATTTAACTTCTTTCTGTACCCCAATTTTCTCATCTGTAAAAGGGTAGAGAGAAAATTTCTCAGTGGGTTTCAAGAATTAGGCAAGGTAATCCAAGTGAAAGTGCACTGTAAAATGTTATACAAATATAAGTTACTGTATCAGATACTCAATGAAGCTACTAAGTAGGTAACCCCAACATTTGTTGAGAAATCATGACAATACTTTAATACCATAGTCTTTCGAGATACATGCTTTTTCAAAGACATGAACTACTACTCAGGCAATCCTATGCTTTGCACTGCACCCAGAACATGGTTGGTGGCTAATATATTCTTCTCCTATCAAAGAACATAAAATAAGGGGGGGCATATCAGTTTGCCCCTGCTGAAACTGCTAGAAGAGATAAACATAGAAAGAGTAAAATGAAATGAATGCATCTAATGACAGACTGAAGAATCTAAATTCTATCTCTTCATTTGATATACGGTTGCGTGCCTTTCAGATGATATATTAAGGATTTTAATTTTTTAAAATATGTTTATTGAGGGGAGAGATATACATTTAATTTTGTAGGAATGAGATAGGAAAAACTTAATTCCCAACATACTACAAAATATTAATTACCTTTAAACATAGCTGAAATTTTTCATTCTTCGAGACTCTGTAGTTCCAAAGATCCTTTTAAGGATTTAAAATTTTGTCTAAGATGACACATCAGAGCAAACATTCTCCATTATGCAAACCTGTTCATCTCAACTCTTATTAACTTCCCTCCAAATTACATGAAGGAGCTAATCCTTAGCTTAATCTTACACCTAAAAGGGCTACTCGGATGTTCCTCCACAAGTAGATGATCAATTTACTGGTAGAGATCCAGTTACATAAAATAGCTTATTTTTACAACAGTTTCTCAATCTCAGGTTAAAAAAAGATGTAAAAAAGTACACATAAAGATACCCCCACACACAATACAAGCAGGTGGCTTCTGAAAGTTGTATTTCTCTTAAGATTACCCTAGAAATTCAAGCTTCATATATATTTTAGATCTGTGCTTTGGAGAAGAATATAAACAAGCGATAAGACTTCCTGGAAAAGTCACTTGAGTGACATGAGCCTCTTCACAGTATCTTTATTTGCAGTGGTCTGAGAAGCCTCTTCCCTGTCCACTTCCCCAGGCGCAATGCCTATCCTTTAAAATTTAATTCAAAAGCACCACTTCCCCCATTCCCACGCTTTCTCTGGTTCCACTGGTCCAAAATAACTTCCCTTCCCCTTGCTCTTGGGATGGCGAAGTTACCACCATCTCTTAGTCTAACTCTCAGGGCTCCTTCCATACTCTGATGCTGGTGTTATTTGAGTATCTGTCGCCTCCCAGTTAAGTTCCCGAGGGCTCTGTCCCATTCATCTGTATATTGCAGATACACCATAAACTGTTTCCCAATGTGAAGTAAACTGTGGTGTAGAACCGGTATGTAGTTGATGGAGGTCAGATGATGCTCCGTCCCACCAGATTTTAACTCAGAAAATCATATTCTGAGGACTGGTGTCTAGGGCCTTGCTCCCGAGAGAGAGTCCGCAAACCGGGAGCATCAACACCACCTTGGAGCTTGTCAGAGATGCGGCTTTTCAGGCCCCACCCCAGGCCTACTGAACCAGTATCTGTATTTCTGCCGGAACCGCATTAAAGGTACACCTGAGAACTTGAGCAGCACCCTCCCGAGTCAGTGTTTCTCAAGCGGTAGATGGCAGGTGGTAGTATCAATTTGTTGGCCATGAACATTTTTAAAATAAAAAAGATCCAAAGAGAACAGTACGTGTCACAGATTGTTTACAGTAAATACTGTTTTATGCGATCTTAATTCTGGATGCGAGCGTGTACGTATGTGTTTGTGAATCGTTTCACAACATTAAATGAGTTTCTTACTGTTGGCTATGGTCTAAAAGCTCTGAAAGCCACGTGCCCGGGAGCAAACTCAGAACTTGAGAGCTGTGTGGTCAGGGGCTGGCTCCACAGAGCTTCCGTCGCTCGAGAGTCTGAAGGAGCTCTGGTGGCAGAAGGAAAGCTGGCCTGCCTAACGAAAACCCCAAGTTCACTTTCTGGTGGTTAAAAAGAGCTGAAGCTGCCTAAATGTCTAGAAAGCAAGAAACTAAAACAAGGACACGGACACAGGTTTGTTACCAAAGAGAACCACTGGCTTGCTCATTATCACGAAGCTGTGCTTGGGGACAGACCCAAGGGGTGAAGCTTAGTTGTCTAATTTATAAGAACAGTAATGTATTTAATTACAATCGTAGAGCCAGCCAAAGGGTAAAAGTATTCAAGCCGTAAACTTCACGGAATTCACAAACCCACTTTTGAAGTTTTCCCAATTTCAATTATTTTTAATATTGGGCAAGAAGTCCACTGGTTGCTTTGTGATAAATTACCTCTCAGTGATCTAAAAGTGTCATCTTGCTTCTTTGCTTATGTAATGGCCATCTGCTTTGTTATGTGAAACTTTTAAGTTACAGAGTTGCAAGACCAGCCCTCCTCCTGCACCCAGAAGTCTCAGGCACCAAACTTTTCATGATGAAAGATAGGGGGCTTCCTGGGATCCTTTTGTAGGCTCTGCAGGTAGCAGATGAGCATGACCCATTTGCTGATTTCTTCAGGGTGTCACAGAAAGGGAGATGTGCTTACTTTGCTCGTGTTACTTAAAGTGCTAGACATGGAGCTGTCCAGATCCAGACTGGAGGAGTGTTCCTGGAGGCCTCTGGCTTTACTACCCTACATAAAGAAAAGCAATCAAATTAGAATCCCTTAGGCTTCTGCAAAGGCATCAGATAGAAGCAGCTTGGTCTATTTAAACCACCTCAGGAAAAATGATCTACTGAGATAAAGCTGCTGAGCACATATGTGCATTAAGATAATCAACATTTTTTTTTTTTAATAGCACAGCAACCTAAATGTTCCTGAACACCTTGTGTATGAATCATTTGGCAGGGATGACGGGCAGGAAGAAGAGACAATCTGTCTATGAAGAAAAGCAAACACGCTCAACACCTCTCTCCCAAGTCCCAAGCTGTCACACCCCACCAGCTATGGGACGCCCAGACAACACTCTATCCACTCAGGAGCTCTCAGAGGTGGCCACCTGGTTTTGTAAATGGACTGTTTTTAATTATCTCTGAGGATGTTGCAAAATTCTGAGAAACACCTTCAAAGAAAATAAAATTTAACCAGAACAAAATTAAGCATGGTTCAGATGGAGTGTATCATGAAATTAAAAAAAAACAATAAAAACAAATAAACAAACAAAAAAACTCTGTAAGACATTTCAAGCTCCAGAAAGATGTGAAACTTTGAAAGAAAATCAAACTCTGATCTCTCACGAGTGCCATCAAAGGTCAGGTACACCTGCTGGGGTGGGGAGCACACAGCATGTAATTTCTTAGGGAACTCCCAGACTGGTGTCTAGGTTTCCTCTGTGCTTCCTCCAGAGTGCAGTGCGCAAACCTGTCCGCACAGGGCCAGATACTAAATCTCTTGGGCTCTGGGGGCCATATTGTCTGTGGCAACTACTCAGCTCTGCACAAAAGCAAATTAAGAGTATAGGTAAATGAGTGGATACCACTGTGTCTCCAAAACTTTATTTACAAAAACAGGAGGTGGGTGGCATTTGACCCGAGAGCCACAGTTTACTAACCCGCTACAGAGAGTTCTAGACATGTACCAGCCACGGCTGACAGTAAATGGTTTTTTAAGCTGTGCCTCGTGGCACTTAGGGAGGATGGGTCCCACACTTTATTACATCTAATCTGTGCTCTTCACAGAGACTGGCCAGCGAATAACATCCTTTGAGGAAACAAAAATACCATGCTATGTAAGAGAATTTCTTTTAACCTAAACCAAGTTAAAAACTGAAGTGTAGGTAACACTGCTCTAAGACTGAGAAGACATTAAAAAGGTTTTTACCCTTCTGTACTTTATAACAAACACTGATGGCACAAAAGCAAAGAAATGAGGGCGCCTGTCTGGCTCAGTTGGAAGAGCATGCAACTCTTGATCTCAGGTTTGTGAGTGTGAGCCCCACATTGAGTGTAGAGATTAAAGATTTTTCGTTTTGTTTTGACAGAGACAGCGAGAGCGGGAACACAAGCAGGGGGAGCGGGAGAGGGAGAAGCAGGCTTCCCGCTGAGCAGAGAGCCCAGTGTGGGGCTCGATCCCAGGACCCTGGGATCATGACCTGAGCCGAAGGCAGACGCTTAATGACTGAGCCACCCAGGCACCTTGAGCATAGAGATTACTTAAAAATAATTTTTTTTAAAAAAAGGCAAAGAATTGAATCTTATGTTCTCTTAAAAAGTGATTTTAACTTAGATTAGGAGAAATTATGCTACTTACCCGGGATAAAATACTTTCTAAAGACTCTGTTAAAGATCTCTTGGCTTTATTTTTCAGCATATCTAGTCTAAATCGAGTGGCACTCGGTGGTAACTCACTTCCAATATTCTCTGCTGCAATCTGTGAGGTCTAAAAAGTGAAACAATGAAAAGTTAAGTCAGTCACTTACAGCTTCCTTGCTCCCTTCCTTTTTTCCTTCTTAAAGGAATGATCAATCTCTAGGATGCATCTTTTTGACCCCAGGACGTTATTCTGATCCCCTGACCTCATCTCATCTGCTCCTCGAAGGCAAGGCTGCAAGTCCAGAAAACAGTCTGCCTCAAAGCACTGCTCCCAGTCTGCCTCAAAGCACTGCTCCGACCGCTCCAAACAAAACGAGGAAATGTGCTTGGAAACCACTCTGTTAACAAAGCTCGTGAGCTCGGGCTCTGCGGTCAGGATCAGAGATGTGTCCCTCACTAACTGGCCTTGGACAAGCTACTTCCTCTCTCCTCGACTTAGTTCCTTCCTCTGTCAACTCAGACCCACCTCACGATCTAATCCTAACGCTGTGTTGTGAGATGAAACAGGTAAAACCACGTGAAGCATTGAGGAAAGCTGCTGGTACCGAGGTGGAGAGTGTTAGCTCCTCCAAGTAAAGAACAACTTACCTTTGGGGGAATTTCAGAGGCTGAAACAAATAGAATCCACTCCATAACTTTAAATTTTATTTTCTTTTTTTAAGATTTTATTTATTCATTTGAGACACAGAGATACAGAGAGAGAGAGAAAGCATGAGCAGTGGGAGAGGCAGAGGGAGGGGGAGAAGCAGACTCCCCACCGAGCCAGGAGCCCGATGTGGGGCTCGATCCCAGCACCCTGGGATCACGACCTGAGCCGAAGGCAGACGTCCAACCATCCGAGCCACCCAGGCGCCCCTCCATAACTTTAAATTAATCCCTTCATCACCTTCTGTGGAGCTGTCTTCTCCACTTCTTCCTCTCCCCCACCTACAGGTTCTGTCACCCCTTCCCTCTGCAACCACGCTTGCCCCCCTCACTGGTCACAACATGAAGTTGCCAACACAATGGTGTTTGGATGCCAACCAGAAAATGAGGTTTAATCCTACTTATTAACAAAGAGGTATGGTAAAAAAAAAAAAAAAAAGAACTATAAAAACTCTCTAGATTAAAAACACAAACAAGCACATACTCCAATACTCTAAACTCAGACCATTCTTTGTTGTTACATACTTCAAGCATACAGAAAAGCGCACAGACCAATATTAACACATGCATCTTCACCCCCACCCCCGGCCCCCGACTCAGCTCTGGCCAAGTGAACATGCACGTGTTGAGAGCAGTGAGGATCGCGGGCTCCAGAGCCTGGGCCCAGATGAGATGCTTCTCTGTGTCTCCCTAGCTCTGTGGCCTTGGACAGATCTTTACCTGTTGCCCCTCCGTTCCTCCACCTGCAGACTGAGGACACACAGGGAACTTTCCCCACAGAGCACTTATGAGCTTCAGATGAACTAATGCACATTAAAGCACCGAGAACATACCTGACGCTCAGTAGATGTCAGCTATGAGTCACGATCATTGACTCTTAGCTACTGTTTCCCATGTTTTATGGAAAACATTACAGACCTCTGTGATGCCTCCTGGAACCACTCTCCATTTCCCAGCTGCACAAATAACCCCGCTCCTGAAGTTGGTGTTCGTCAACTCGTACCATGTACCTTCATATACATGTATGTATCCATAAAACATACGTAATGGTTTACATGTAGTTGAAACTTTACATGAACAGATCATCCTGTACATATCCTCCCATAACTACCTTTTGTCTTCCAATGTAGTTTTTCAGATTTATCTGTGTTGACAAATGTTCTTGGATTCACTCACTTTAATTAGAGTGCAGTTGCTCACTGTATAACAACGTAATTTGTTCACGTTCCTATGCTTAAACATGTATTCCTTCGTGCTTTTACAAAGGAGACTGAGCTAATCTCTCCCGAACATAGCTCCTTAGCACAGATGTGAAAGTTTTCGCAAGGTAAATAATTAGAAATGTCCTTGCTGGGTCACTAGGTCTGCGCGTCTTCACAGGTACCAGATACGGTCAGATTTTTTTCCCCTAAATGGTACTAATTAACAGTCACAGTATCAGTACATGAGAGTTCACCTCTACATGGCATGGTCAGATTTCTCCATTTCTGCCAATTTGATGGCTACAGATGGTCTCTTAATTTGTCTTCCCCGGATTCCTATGTGATTATGCATTTTTTATTATTTAACTATTTGCTGGTCAAAGATATAGGTCTTCTTTGAAATGATGAAATCCTAGTTCATCAATGAATGTCATACCTTTTTCAAGGCATAAAAGAGAAATAAAGGGTTCTGATAAGAGCTACCTTTGGCTTCATGCAGTCATCAGAGTTTTACTTCTGTGAGAATTAGAATGTGCATTAAGAGAATGACAACTAGCTTAGAAATTCTTTGGAGGGAGACCATCATTTATCTTTGTGTTTTCGTAGAGTATACGGAGCATGCTCTGGACACTTTCCACTTGCTTGCTGAAGGAGCGAATGAGCAATGATCACCAGGTAGGCCCTGGGGAAACACGTACCCAAAGCAACAGACTCCCGCAACAGATACTAACTAAGTGCCTGCTAAACATCATGCAGCACGGGCAGGTGCCTTACTCACTGCCATTGGTCTTGTGCAATCATTTACCAAATATCAGGGCCACAGACTCCAGAGCAAAGGAAAGGATCCACACAGGGCCCTTGGGGGCCTGCCCTTGACTCGCCGCCAGTTCTCCCACAAAGTTAAGAAGGCGTGCGCTTGCTTTCAAACTCCACACAAGTTTCCATGAAGCAGAAGCATTTTGAATGGATTGTTTTGATAGATAAAGAAAACACTGGCTACAAGACCAGTGACACACAGCAGAAAGTACATACAAGAAAAACTGCACTTTTCCTTTTCTGAAACCAGGCCATAAGAATGTCTGTACACGGAGTTCAACGCTTCGTCCGCTCTCCTCTCCCACCTAACATGATGCTTTTCCAGGTCTATCACCACAATTCTAATATGCTTTGAAAATAACTCATGTTTAGAAAATATATTCCTTGTTCATTTTAAAATAAGCATCTAGAAGTTTCTCCTTTGAAGAGGATGCTGGTTCTTCCAATTTGGGGTGCTAGAGCAACTTGCACCAAGTCGCCACACTGCCCAGCCCAGGACAGAAGGGTGAACTCTGCACAGAAGTGTGGAGCCAAGTTTTAAATTCTGCGGCTACACCGACGTTCTCAGGTCAGAACCCACCATCATGTGGCGCCGTGGCGTGCCCACGAGCAGCCTTATTCCTAACAACGAGCACCTGCAAGTAGCCAAGGTGTCCACCAGAAGGATGATGGAGAAAACTGGGGCTGGCCCACAGGAATAAAAAGGAACAAACGACTGATGACACGCAACAACATGGATGAGTAGCACAAAGTGAAAGAAGCCAGAACTGAAAGAGTAAAGACTCTCTGATTCCATCTGCAAAACTTCTAGAGCAGGCAAATCAACCTATGGTATAAATAATCAAAACCGTGGCTGCCTGGGGGAGGGTAGTGAGGACCAGCAAAGAGGTACGGGGGTACATTTCGGCGTGAAAGAGGATGCTCTCTATCTTGATGGGGGCTTGGGCCACCTAAATGTATGATGTCCTCAAAACTCAACGAGTAGTGCACTCAAGATCTGTGCAGCTTACAGGATGTAAATCTCCAAAGACAACTGTGAACAAATACTGAGCTACAGCTAATTATATGCACGCTGAAGTGTATGGGAATAAAGAGTGCTGGTATCAGAAATTTACTTTACAAGTCATCCAAAAAAAGGTGAAATAAGAACTGGACGGATATATGGGAAAGCAAATATTGCAAAATGCGACAAATGGTATAATCTGGATGGTGGGTATATGAATGCTCACTGTTTCTTCCAACTTTCCTACATGTTTGAAATTTTTCAAAATAAAATGTCAGAAAAACTCCTCTACTGGAAAATGGACCCAGGCAAATCAGTGAGTAGTTATATAACATTAAATTTTGTTAGGTATGTTCCTAAAAAGCATAATGATTAAAATAGTGCCCTTGGACCTGCGACACATCAGCTGTCACTCCCTAACATGCTGCTTGACCTCTTCCCCACATCTCCATCTCGAACAATGGTATTATACCACCTGCCTCAAAAAAGTTGTAGAAAAACTGGAATCACTCATGCAAAAAATTCAAACTCTGTACGTGGCAAACATTCAGTAAGTGGCAGTTGATTGAATATTCTTAATTTTTCACACCAGCTCTGTCCAGACAAGTAGAAACAGTATGTCCACTTACTAAAATGTGACACTTTCTAACTTTATTACTTTACAGGTCTTTGCCCAAAGCGATTCTTCCTTTTCCACAAGAACAAAACGTCCTTCAGTTGTTCTATTTTATAAAAATGGTTCCTCTGACAGCTATCCAACGCTACCATTTTAGTCTTTGAAAAGCACATACAGCATCACCACTGGCTCTGAGAAGTGCAGCCCTGGGTCTGTGCTCAGCGTCCTCTGTCCACTTGAGGGCCGGGGGCCAGAGAAGTTCACTGCCAAAGCCATGGTTCTAACTCCTCTCTAGGTCAAGTCATAACACTGTCCAAAGGCTATGGGAATTTTTAGGTGCAACAAGAGCATAATGAGATCCATGTAAACTATTTGGTAGCAGAAAATGAGAGCAGGAATCTACTGGTGAATCTCAAAGCTTCATCTGATCCATCTAAAAACAGCAGCTGCACTGAAAAGCCTGATCCTCAGAGCCCGAGTGGGTGTCCAGCCTGGGGAAGACCCAACCACAACTCGGGATCAGAGCAACTTCTTTACAGGCACGGACGTGAGCCTGCTGGGGAACAAAATGTTTAGAAACCTCGAGAGAAAGCACTGACAGCTCTGCTTTGTGAGGCCTGGAAGCTGTGACATTAAATTCTCTCATGTTTTCAAATGGAAAAAAAAATTAAATATCTTTCTCCACTGGACTAAACTATGCCCAAATCATAAAGACACTTCTCTGTTCCTTAAATATCAGTTTGTACTTAGGTCAAAACTTTCCATCCACCATAAATGCTTCATTCCCCTCCAGCAGTTATAAATCATTTCAAATTATCAATTTCCTGTTGGAACAAGTTAGGGAAGAAAATTACAACAGGGAAAACCTATTAATGGCACAAGAGGGAAAAAAAAGGGGGGGATGGAAACAAGAAAATAGGTTGAAAAGCACCAAAGAATTCACTGTCAGCTTAGGCTGGGTGGCCCACCCAAGTGAGCTGGAGGAGCACAGAACTCCCACGCTGTCCTGGGAAGGGAGGGATGGGGGCTGGCAGAGGCCAGACACACATACGGTGCACTGGCGTTAGGGTCCCTGCTAAGAGATGCTAAGGTTGGCCAAGGGGATGAAAAACAATGTTGGACACTGTACGTGAGCTCTGTGAGCTCAGGAAAGGGACCTGACTGCCAGAGCCACCTGGAAGGTAGGAATCTGGGGAGAGTAAAACCATATCACCGTTAGGTGACCAGAAAAGCAGAGGTGTTTATAGGGAGAGGGTGCGCCACTGAGCATTAAAGCCCCTGTAGAACAGATCAGTTAGGCATTTTATAAAAAGGCAATATACTGGGGTGCCTGGTGGCTCAGTCGGTTAAGCGCCCAACTCTTGGTTTCGGCTCAGGTTATGATCTCACAGTTGTGAGATCGAGCCCCATGTCAGGCTCTGCGTTGGGCGTGGAGCCTGCTTAAGATTCTCTCTCTCCCTCTGCTCCTTCCCACCTTCCCAATCTCTCTCTCCAAAAAAAAAAAAAGACTGCAGCGCGTGGGTGGCTCAGTCAGTTAAACATCTGCCTTCTGCTCAGGTCATGATCCCACGGTCCTAGGATCAAGCCCCATGTTGGGCTCCCTGCTCAGCGGGGAGCCTGCTTCTCCCTCTCCCTCTGCCCTCCCCACCACTCATGCTCAATCTTAAATAATAAAAAATAAATAAAATCTTTAAAAAAATAAAAGACCATATACTTTTGGAAAATTAAGGATTTTCTGAACATCTTTCAGTGATATTTCTCTAGATTTTCTGACTTACAAGGAACTTAAATACAAAATGCACACCTGAAGCTCTACTGGTTATCATGAATTGACTTACACAGAGTCTAAGGGACATAAGAACGTGATCCGTGACACCACGTGTATGGAATCGCAGACTCGGAGCCCCAGCTTCGGACACAGCACCCCGAGACAGAAAAGCTGAACAATGCTTGTGCCCAGAAGAGGAAGGCAAGCCAATTTGGGACCTCCAGCACGTGAAACAGAGTCAATGCCAGTCTGGTACGTGGATGCCCATGCGCCAGGCTCCCCAGCACGGCACCTGACCTGTCAGTACAGCTACCTTACATTCACATAGTACTGACATTCCAGAGACCCTCCGGGCACCTTACAGAATTCTGAAGGCAGCGATGCAAGGTCATTCCCGTTGTCCCGGGGAAAGAGGGGAGGTGACAGAGACGGGCTCCCTGCAGGTCAAGTAGCTTGCTGTGGCAGTATCTACTCTCCAGTTCCTTCTTGAAGCTCTACACCCGCCCTCTTGTTGGGAACGCCTGCTCCACCCGCCCCGTGAGGCAGACTCAACTTCTCTCACCGCCTCCAAGCAGTCTAAATATTTCCAAATTTCCCCTACATGTGCAACAAGTAAAAATAAAACACAGGGAGAAAAAGAGTTTCAGAACTTGAGAAAATCCTCAAGTTTCTGTTTTACACAGCATCCTGGTAAAATTAAGAGAGGGGAAAAAATGCCATACCTGCTTTATCTCCCCAATGTGGATGTGACCTTTTTGTTTCTCTTCATATAAACATCTCAGGAAAGAAATAATCAATTCATTCTCTCGCTGTTCACTTCTTGGTCTCGATTTCTTAACAACAACAACAAAAAGAATATATTACATTTATTTTTAATTGTCAACAAAACTGCTAAACCATGCCTTTGAAAATGCTAACAGCTTCCATCCACCCGTTATAATGGCTGCTTTTACCCGATCATCTCACTAGGGGGCACCAATGATCCTAGCTAGACATGGACACCATTACAGGACAATGGAGCCAGTGGCCCAGATTCAGCTTTTGACCTCTGATGTCCTTATACCTAAAATAAATATTTCAAATCAGATAGAAGCACAGACAAAATATTTAATAAATAAGCTGTCTTGAAAACAAGAAAAGAATAAAATCTGTGTAAACATATCCAGAGGTCAAGAGCCATAATGGCCACATGTTTATAAACTTTTATGGCTAGGGAACTGGAAAGGAAAACAGCAACTGGATCGAGGGTCATGGTCCCACCCATCCAAAGTGCTGTTCAGCATGAAGCACTTTCTGCAAGCCCCGCAAGGCCTAAACTTGCACGCAGTATTTCATGGCACTGACTCACTTTTTTTTTTTCTCCTTTCTTTTTTAAGGAAATTCTCCCTACATCTTTTATTTTTCAGATAAGTAGTGGCAAAGCACACTGAACTAGAAATCAGGATACATAGGTTCTGGGTGCTGCCACAACAAGATTACATGACCAAAGGCGAGTCATGTAATCTTAGCTTCCTCATCTGTTCAAAGAAAGATTATGCACAAAATAAACTCCCCAATTCTTTGGATCTGAAACATCAGTGTTCATTTTTAGGAGACCATGTAATTTAATGTATTATTTTCTCTGAAAATGAAGAAAAAAGTTATTCTGAAGACACACAAAGCTTCTAGCCTATAAACCTTGAAAATATGGGTTTTTGAAGAGTTTGAGAGTGAGAGAGAGAGAGAGCAGGGGGAGGAGCAGAGGGAGGAAGAGAAGCAGACTCTGTGCTGAGCAGGGAGCCCGCCAAGTGGCAGGCGTCATGGGAGCCCTGGGGCCCTGGGATCATGACCTGAGCCGAAGGCAGGCACTTAACCAACTGAGCCACCCAGACACCCTGAAAATGTGTGTTTTTCATAATGATGATTATCCATTTTCCTGCTCACCGCCCCCCATCCAAACTTCTAGCCTGCTCTTCAAAACAAAGACTGTAATAAATGCATCAACTATACAACCATCTAGTCTGGATCAATACCACTCTTGGCAACCTCCTCTCTGAGCTAACCTAGAAGCAATGATTTTACCCTTTGTGTCACAGGTTTTAGAAGCAAAGGTAACACTAACCCAGACCTTCTGGTATTCCTACTCTTTAAAAAAAGATCATTTAAAATGTAAGTTGTTCCTAAAACTGAAGGAAAAGACAGTAAATCATTAGAAGGGGTTGTTTTCACTGAGGACTTGCTATTCTTTAAATTTCAGATTCAAGGATTGAATATCTTAGAGCAGATGCTCTCAATCTCGATTCCAAGCCGTGAACCCTGATGTTATGAAGTTTTACATGTTTTATGTAACAAGTGCATTTTTCCAAAGAAAGTTCCCTTCAGATCTTCAAGAAAGGAAAAGGATAGTCATATACCACAATCCCAACTTTATACTGAGTAGCCCAAGGAGGTGATGGATACACGGTGAGTCTACACGCCCAGGAGGCACGAGGAACCCTCATTCACTGCTGATGGGACTGCACGATGACACAGCTGCTGTGGGGGCCAGTTTGACAGCTTCTTACCAAACCAACCATGCCCTTAGCACTCGATCCAGCCAATCACACTGCTTCATATTTACCCAAATGAGTTGAAAATTTGCGACATACTAAAACCAACACAAAAATGTTTACAGCAGCTTCATTTATAACTGCCAAAACTTACGAGCAACCCAGATATCCTTCAACAGTGAATAAACAAATTGTGACACATCCATAAAATGGAATATAAAGGGCACCTGGGTGGCTCAGCTGGTTAAGCATCTATCTGCCTTGGGCTCAGGTCATGATCCCGGGGTCCTGGGATGGAGTCTCACATCAGGCTCCCTGCTCAGCAGGAGAGTCTGCTTCTCCCTCTGCCTCTGCTCCTCTCCCTGCTCGCACTCTCTCTCTCAAATGAATAAATAAAATCTTTAAAAAAATGGAATATTATTCAGCACTAAAATGAACTATCGGGCCATGAAAAGACACAGAGGAACTGTAAATGCATGTTGTTAAGTGAAAGCCAATCCACTGCATGCTGTATGATTCCAACTGTATGACATTCTGGAAAAGGCAAAACAATGGAGACGGTGAAAGATCAGTGGGGGCCCGGGGTTTGCGGGAGGGGGGCAGAAATAAACTGATGGAGCATAGAGGATTTTTAGGGTAGTGAAAAAACAATTCTCTTTGATCCTATAATGGTAGATACATGTCATTATACATTTGTTAGAACCTACAGAATGTACAACACTAAAAGTTAACCCTAATGTCAACTATGGACTTCAGTTATTAATAATGTATCAATATGGGCTAACCAATAGTAACAAATGTACCACACTGAGACGTTAATAATAGGGAAAAGTGGCCCGAGGGTAAGGCTGGGGTGTGACAGGTTATATGGGGACTCTATTTTCTAGCCACTTTTTCTATAAAACTAAAACTGCTGTAAAAAAAAAATAATAATAAAGTCTATTTTTTTTTAAGTCTAGGAAAGAGGAACAGACAGGAATTAGGGGATGTCTCTGAACAGACACCTAAGAGTTGGAACCATTCTTTCTTCCATAACTTTAATATTTGGGGCTGTTCTCACAAGAAAATGTATATTTTTCTTGGAGAAATTGTGCAATTGCTTATTTCAAAGTCTCAAAAAAGATTAAAAATGCAGTAATAAGAGGAGACATTTTTTCCTCAAAATATGCAAGAAAGTTGTCCAGATGGACAGAAAATGAGACAAATGAGCACCATGTACTATCACAGTCATCAGAAACTGAAGCAAAGGAGAAATGCATCACGGAGGTCGTGAAACATCACAGAGGAAAGTCAATAAGGTCAGAAATCCACGTCCATGATATCCTACAAGGTCAAAAAATAAATCCTTTCTTCCTTAAAATAACTGAAATGTGACTAGGGGCTACTCTTCTATTGAGTTCAAATGATTAGCAAGGTGTCGACACCCACCACCCTCCACAGTGGCAACTCATTCCTTTCTACAGGTGATTTAATTTTACAAACACTCATTAGTCAGAGAGACAAGTCTGAGGAAAATGATGGGGAATCCAGTTGGATAGCATCACTTTGCAGTTAAAAATTAACTTGCTTATAGGGGCGCCTGGGTGGCTCAGTAGGTTAAGCGGCTGCCTTCGGCTCAGGTCATGATCCCAGGGTCCTGGGATGGAGCCCCATGTCCAGCTCCCTGCTCAGCGGAGAGCCTGCTTCTCCCTCTGACTGCCACTCTGCCTACTTGTGCTGTCAGATAAATAGAATCTTTAAAAAAAAAAAAATTAACTTTCTTATAAAAAATCAATCTGCAGTGTCAGGGGCGCCTGGGTGGCTCAGTCGTTAAGCGTCTGCCTTCGGCTCAGGTCGTGATCCCAGGGTCCTGGGATCAAGCCCTGTATCGGGCTCCCTGCTCGGCGGGAAGTCTGCTTCTCCCTCTCCCACTCCCCCGCTTGTGTTCCCTCTCTCGCTGTGTCTCTCTCTGTCAAATAAATAAATAAAATCTTTAAAAAAAAAAAATCAATCTACAGAGTCAGAAGTCAGGACGGTGTGTCCCCGGGGGCAATACCGAGGTGGGGGGTAGTGGGCGGAGATTCTGAGGAGCTGGAAATGCTCTATTTCTTAATCTTCATGCTGGCTGGCTACACAGGAGCATTCATCTTCTAAAAATTCACTGAAACACACACACCACTAATTTGTGTGCTTTTCTCCTGTTACTTCATTTAAACAAATGCAAACAACTGATTGCCTGTTAAAGGTAACAAAGCCAATTCTGCCACATGCTTCTTGACTTATTTCTAGGAGAAGGCCTACGAATTGGACGTAAGAGTGACTGGAAACTGAATTTCCAACACTGACTGATGAATACCAGAATGCTGAGAATCTGCAGTCTTTGGAGGATACTACTTAAAATGGCAATGCTCACTTGGACACTACTAGAATTCTAACATCTTTTTATAACGTTATAATCAAATCTTATAGCAATTAATTTTAAAGCCATGGAAAATCCAGCTAAGTTGATATTCTTCAAAAAGTGGAGGGAAAAACAGCTCCTCTATTAATCTTTACAACTTGTGAAAAATCATCTTCTTTAATCATTACTGACCCCCACTGAGTATGAATTGACTTGATTTATCCATTCAGTATTAATTCAGCCATTCACTGAAATACTCTCATTCTGAAGAAGAGAGTTGGACTTTTGAGGCATTTCCCTTACTAGCCCTACTTGGGCTGGAAAACACCAAAGGGGACTGACCACCGGACCCCATGGGCTGCCACTCAGTTGCACAGTGAGATATGCTTGAAGATTATGCGTTTCATAAGGTCATCAATTAAACAGTGGCTCTGAAGTGTCATGAGTCCCCTGACAAAAGGGTTAACAGGCCCCCAGGCTCGTCTGGCACCAAGTTCTCTCAGCGTGCTCAAAGTCAGCCCGCACGCGGCAGCAACAACCTCCAGTGACACGTACACGGCCATTACAGATTTCTGCTCTTCATGTCCTGTGTAGTCTGCCCTTCTTTCTCTGCATTAAGCATTTATTTACAAAAACCCTGATTATGTATGCTTTAACTAAGTAATCATGTACCATTAATTTCAATCGTAATTACATTTGTCTTATGAAGATATGCCCTTGGAGAGTTCTTCAGAAATAAACTACCCTCCAGGAAAACTGTACAAAGGAACGTCTTAACCTTTCTGTTTACAAAAGGGCTCCTGACACTGCAAAGCCACCTTTTTCTTTATGATCTTTTTAAAAGGTATGATTTTCAAACACATTAGCAAGTGCTGCTACCTAGAAACAAACTTGGTTTATAAAATGTTTTCTAAGAACCAAGAATGGTCATTGAAAATAATTCAATGAAACCCTCAAGCCATTAGAAGAGATCCATGTCAAATTTTATCATTTAAGGAAAAGCCGCACTTATGATGATGGAGGACAAAGAGCTGGCTTTTCACACCCAGTGTCCCTTTCTTTTGGTCTTTAAGCCAACTGAGGTACAGAGCCTTCTAGAACAACACATAGGGGTCCCAAGATATTAACTGCATGCATTTAAAAACAAAAACCTGTGTTGTGCCATCACTTGTCTCTAAAGTCTCTTTTCCATAATGCACTGGATATCTAAAAATTTAGATCAAAGAGAGTCTCAGAATCACATCCATCAGGAATTTCTCATTGCTGAAGAACACTTTATTACCTATGCTGAGCCATCGCACTGTTTTGGGATGGCTACACAGTGCTGTCTAAATAAAATGCACATTAGGGGAGGCATGTGCATCTCCTAGGCTTGCCGCAAAGATGTTCCCCAAAGTGGCTTGATAACACTCGACGAGCAAGTGGACCGGCATCATGGAAAAAGGCCCCAGCCTCCACGGTAAATGCATTAACAGTCAGAAGCAAACTGTTCATCCATTTATGAATTCCAAGTACAAATCACACTAAGTTTTTCTGAGTACTGTGTCCTCAGAACTCTAAAGATCCTTCAAGAAAAAACCAAGTAGCCTGTCTCAAGTCGATTCAGAAGAAAACAAGAAAATGTAAAGGCAACTGGAAATTGTGAGAATTACATTCTAAGCTACTTATGAAATTGAAAAACCTCCCCATGCTTTTCTTCTCCGAGCATGTGTCACTCCTGCCAGGAAACAGATCACGGGCCTACATGTACAGTCCTGCACCCACTGAGGAGGCGGAGAGAACTCCCCATCCAGAGCTGCCAGCACTCTTGATTTGCGTAACAGACTCCTCTGCAGGACCCCTGCCGCTCTCCTCCCGGCAAAAAAAGATATTTACTCTTTGTTCTGATGTGCTTTCCTCCCTACAAAAGCGCCAGGAAACATGAGAAAGTGCCCCTCGGCTGAAGTGGACATGAAATCTGTGATGAGCTCGTTAAAGATTCCTAACGAACACAGTACAGGCATTCCAGCACACACAGCGTGGTCTCCCTGAGCTCCGCGGCATCTACATGCAAGGACAAGAGCGAGTTTCCAGAACACCGACGAGCCTGGCTTTGGTTTTGTATTTTGTTTTTATATTTAGGTTTGATAGACAGTTCTAAGTAGCTAACATCATCTCCATCCCTTTCCAACACTGAGGAAGAAGGCAGGAACCACCAATGACCAAGTTCACGTACGAAATGCTGTCTCTGCCCACTGCCACACTTTGGGGCTGGGACCCCAAGCAAGAAGGGGCTGGGCAGAAGCTTCCCGTGGAGCAGAGGAGTGCTCGGGGACCAAAGTCCACGTCTTCCGTCTCCTGGGCTGAGGGCTCTTTTCACTCTGCAATTCCTTTCGCTCATTCCAAAACATTTTTTAAGGCAGGACTTTTCTGGGTTAGTCGCATTCACCGTGAAATCCAAGACTTGGTGAAAGTCTGCCGTCTGACCTGGCCCCTGCCCAGGGCTGCTAAGCCTAAACCAAGAGGAACTCGGGGCCACTTCCTCTGAGCTGTGGCAGCTCTGGTTTGCTATTTTTCATACGTACCATCTCACAGGTAAGCTGCTTAGCTCTGCTCTCAGTCTAGCAATTAGAAACTCATACTTTACCTGAACCTCTTCAAAAATAGTTGCTTGCTCCTGATTAGTTAATGTCGTCAGGTGCTTCTGGAGTTCTAGTTTGGTTTTGGAAGAATTCATTCCTATTAAGAAAAAAAGAGACATGAAAACACTCTATGGAGAAGTTACAAGGCAGAGTAAAACTTCCGTACTCGTGCTTTTTACGTCCTTACCCACCTACTCCAGGCTTCTGAAGTTTTCCGGACATTCTACTCAGTAAAATATGGTTCATGATGGCAATGATGACAACTAACATGTTTTAGTCAAGCCCTCATTCACCAGGCACAGTCTTATAAACATTAGGCCTGCCTCATTTAATACTGAGAACAGTCAATGAAGACGCTCCAGTTATCCCCATTTTGCAGTTAAGGAAACCGAGACCCAGAAAACTGATGTGAACTCCAAAGACCACCATGCTGGACCCCACCTCAGGTCTGCACAGTTCTGAATTTTTCTTTCTCCATCATTCCATGTTAGAACACCTCATACAATCGGAACACTGTCCTCAGAAAATAGATTCTCATGAGTATTTATATATAAACTTGACAACTCAAGGAAAAACAACTACTGCTCCATTTGAAACATGTTTCTCTTCCACAGTAGGCTCCTCCGCATAAAACTGATTCATGTGGCTAACAACCTTCCTTTTATCACCACTTGCATTAATAGTCTTAAGCCCATCTAATTACCATTACAGAGGATCGCGAGGAAAAGTTAGAAAGTCACAATCTTAGTGCCAATGAGAAGCTGATACTCTGGAAAGTTGTTTCTCCACACAAATATGGCTTAGATCCTGCTTTGCCTTTTCTTGGTGCCGGAGATAAATGTTACACATGCTGAGAAGATTTAGAATGAAAGGATTTGCTGACCTAACTACCGTGGGAAAACTGCCCCTGCTCAGTACTTTTATTCCAAAGGCAGCCCTCACCTCACCCACCTGCTGCAGCTCCCTCCCCATTCCCCCCTCCCCCCAGCTGAGGAGGCTGGGTGCCTAGGCAGGTGCTTGGCCAAGGCTCTGCCCCGGAGGACACTGTGAATACATCTACACGGCTAAGGATGGCCAGGAGGGGACACTTCTGAAGTCTGGAACCAGGACTTGGAAATCAAGCCTCTGTTTTTACACAGGTGTTTGCTGAGGTCTAGAGAAGCCAGGTGATGGGGTGCCTGGGTGGCTCAGACGTTAAGTGTCTGCCTTCGGCTCAGGTCATGATCCCGGGGTCCTGGGATCGAGCCCC